TGAGAACTGTCCCTTAGATTTTTCACTCAAGATGAGCTCTCTTCCACTTGAGCTACAGCACCACTTCTGGTTTTCTGGTAGTTAATTGGAGATAAGAGTTTCATGGACTTTCCTGACTTTGCCGGCTTACCTTGATCCTCAGATCTCAGCCTCCTGAGTAGCTAGGATTACAGGCATGAGCCACTAGTGTCCTGCCATGACTATTATTTCTATAAATAACCACCTACTCTACCACTTGAACCACACTTTCATCTTTTTGGCTGCCTTCAATCTCCAGATCTTAGCCTCCTGAGTAATTAGTTACAAACATGAGCCACTGGCATCCAACCATGAATATTTTCTTAAGCAGAAATCTGCACAACACCAAAGATGGATTAAACGGAGAGCTACAAAAGAAGAAATAGCATTTGCAAATTCTCCATAAGGAGCACCTTTAAGCCTAGAAGTTATGCTTGTTTACATGCTTTATAAAATAGCTGTCAAGAAGAAGAAAAAATGGCCTCTAACACTCCAAATAAGGCCAGCTATGAGGACTTGCTCCAGGACTGAGCCTGTAGATTTGCCTCTGAAGAAGTTAACAAAAGGGTAGGAACAACTCCCCCACTCCATTCCCCTCCTAGCATGACTATGGGCTCCAGGAAAGATTACTAAGATCAAGTTCATGACCAAGATTATGCCAACTTGGGGATCTTCCATAACAATCTATCTAGAAGATTAAAATCAGTACCAGTAATATCTGTGCATTCCTTAAGAAATAAAGAAATGGTTTTGTGTGTGTGTGTGTGTGTGTGTGTGTGTGTGTGTACTTGAACTCAGGGCGTGTGTGTGTGTGTGTGTGTGTGTGTGTGTGTGTTTATGTACTTGAACTAAGGGCATGGTTGCTATCCCTTAGTTTTTTCACTCAAGGCTGACACTCTACCACCTGGGCCACAGATCCACTTCAGGGTTTTTTGGTGGTTAACTGGAGTTGAGTCCTATGGAATTTCCTGTTCAGGCTGGCTTTGAACCTTGATACTTAGATCTCAACCTCCTAAGTAGCTAAGTAGCACATGGGTAACTGGAAGGTTTTTAAAAATCAAAAACAAGCTGGGTGCTGGTGGTTCACACCTACTCAGAAGACTGAGATCTGAGGATCATGGTTCAAAGCCAACTCAGGAGACTCTTCAATTAACAAGCAGAAAAACGGAAGTGGCACTGTGGCTCAAGAGGTAGAGCACTCACCTTGAACTGAAGAACTCAGGGACAGTGCCCAGGCCCAGAGTTCAAGCCCCATGACTAACAAAACAAACCAAAAAAAAATGAAAAACAACCTGGAATCAGGTCTGATTCTCACTGTCTTATAATTTTTGACTCACTGAAACGTGAGGAACTGAGCAAGATTTGGCTCAGAACAAAACTCATCCCTAATTTTGGCAGGTGTTTAGAAATACAATCTTGGCTCATACAGAGAGGAGACAGGGGTGTGAAAGATAAATGCTAAGACCTATCTTTTTACCACTGATTCAAATCAGCTTCTTCATAGAGGTATCAATTAGGATTAAGGTAGGCTTCATATAATCCCATGGGTTACAGGGCTGGAATTGGATGATAGACAAGGTAACCATGATGCTCCATATGCACCTAGCTTCTTCTCTCTTCCCACTCTATTAGTATTAATATTGTTCTTACTATTGTTGGCTTCCATCCTCAAGGTCATCTCATGGCCAGAGTAGAGCCTCCACTATGCCAGCCATCCCACTCACATACTAGGTAATGAGAAAGAGGATGAAATAAGACAAAAAGGCCAGCAATTCCAGCTGCATCTGCAACTCTTAATGAGTCTTCCAGGAGCCCTACCCAGTATCTCTTCAGATCTCTCCCTGCCCGGACAACTGAGAAATGCTTCATATTGCCACAACACCACCCACCGTTCCTCACCCAAAACTTCAACCCCAACATAACTCCAATGAATTAGAAAAAGAAGAGACAAAGGTCTGTGGGGAAGCAGTCAGGAGTCTCTGCTACAACAGAATTCTTACATTGAAACTGTAGAGTACAGAGAAAAGTTCCAGAATTCTGTCTAGTCTGTCTCCAGTTTTATAGGAGAAGACTGAGGCTCAAAACCACTAAATGCCACTAATATAGTTAATAAATGGAGACCAAAAAGCCTTCTATCTGATTCTGGAACTGGTGCCAGACTTTAGAATTGCAGTTGCAGTAAATTCTGTCTGTAAATGAACAAGAGTTTAAAAATAAACTTCCTTTTTTCTTTTCCCTTGTGCCAATACTGGGGTGGGAACTCGGGGCCTTGTGCTCTTGATTAGCTTTTTCTCCTCAAGGCTGGAGCTCTGCCACTTGAGCCACACCTCCACTTCCTGCTTTTTGGTGGTTAAGTACAGGTAAGTTTCTGAGAGTTACCTGACAGGGCAAGCTTCAAACCTCAGTCTTCAGAATCTCAACCTCCTGGGTAGCTAGGATTACAGTTGTAAGCCACCAATGCCCAGCTAAACTTCCTATATTGGGTCTTTTCAATATAAATAAAATTAAGCCAGGCACTGGTGATGCATGCCTGTAATCCTAGCTACTTAGAAGGCTGAGATCTGAGGATTAATGTTTGAAGCCAGCCTGAGAAAGAAAAGTCCATGAGTCTATGAGTCTCTTACTTCCAATTAGCTCTACCACTTGAACCAAAGCTCAAAGCGTCAAGGGAAAAAGCTAAGGGACAGGCCCTCAATATAAGCTTCAATACTGACAAAAAGCAAATACATTTTAAAAAATTTTAATTAAAAAATAACTATGCTACAGTGTGGGGAAGACAGACCCATCTTATAAATGTGTAAGCGATTTGTGAGATTGTATATGCATTGTAAGGATTCCTGTCATCTGTTCTCTCCCTGGACAGGACCACATCTTCATCCATCCAGGTGCTCCTTCTCTAGATTTACACCATGCCTAGAGAAAGAATATCCCCTCCTATCCATACCACCCATGAAAGCCAGTTCACAAAGCCCCAATGTCTCACAGGGACCTTTCAATGGGTTTTATGTCTTATTTATTGTGCTTCTCTGACAACTTGGCAAGGCTAAGACATCTCTAAAAATGTGTTGACATTACAGTTCATTCTTAATGTCCTTCAGTGAATTATCAAATGTGGACAGTGCAAATAGTCCCTTAAGGGCAATAAAAAAAATACACAGAGATACAAATGCCTATATGCTGCACGTATTAAACCTAAATATAAATATTCCCAGTGCAGCATTATTAAGTTCAATGCTATAAATACACTGCCAATTTCTGCTACCACCCACCCATTTGGTAAGTTGCAAACAAAAAAAAGTCCAGGCAATGTGCCAACAGATGAAGCCAACAATCATCTCACCTAGACAATTCCCCAAACCTCCAACCTCCCATTGCTCTGAGAGCTTCTACCCAGCAAAGCTTTCTTCCACCAAAGATCTCCAGCCAAATTCGAGAGCTCTACAAGATCAATTACAGTTTCTGGATCCAAGGTGCTCTTAACATTTTTAATTATATTGTTGCCAAATTAATCATGTATGTGAACAATTAATTACCCACTAATCTCCCTCGATTTTCCCACACTTAGCAAACACTACAGAAATACCAGAGGGACACAAAGCAAAACAGATGTCAATTTGGAAAGCTTCAATCAAAATAAAAATGCTGGTGTGGATGCTGGTGGCTCACACCTGTAATCCTAGCTATTCAGGACCTAAGATCATGGTTCAAAACCAACCCAGACAGAAAAGTCTGTGAGACTCTCATGTCCAATTAACCATTAAAAAAAAAAAAAAAAAGCCAATAGCGGATCTAACGCTCTAGTGGTAGAGCACTATCCTCTGATCAAAGCAAAGGGATAAGCCCAGGTCCCTGAGTTCAAAGCTCCAGTGACCAGCACTAAAAATTGCTACACATTTTTTTGTAAAATAAAAACAGGCTGTCAAGTCTCCAGTAGTCTAACAAAAGCAGTGTAGCAATAAAGCCACATCTTTTTCCAACCCGTACTTCTGCCATTCCTACACATCTCCACGTACTGCCGTTCACAGGCAAGTCTAAGTGAGAGGATATCAGCATTCTGCAAAAGGAGTAATATATATATAATTTTTTGCCCAGGCTTTCAAACTTGCATCTCACCATAAAAGTCCATTGGAATTACTTTTTAAAAAGAAAACGAGATAAACTCGCATCACATCTTTCCTCATGACAAGTAAACGCCCTTGTAGGGGGTGGAAAACGAGGGGAAAGAAGGCATCGAGGCTGCTGGAGACCCGGCCAGCGCTGTTGGCAGAGACTTCTCCTGTTTTCCCTGCGAAGATCCAGGGAAGCTTCCCGCGTCGTCCCCGCGCCAAGCAGCGCGCTCGCCCCGAGGGGGACCCCCAGCATCCCACTCTCCTGCTCCGGGTCGCAATCGCCCAGAGGCTTGGACGGGTTCGCGGGTCACCAACGAGAGCCCGGGCGAGTCCCGAGGAGGAGCGCCCGGACGTGGGGGGGGGGGAGGGCCGAGCGCGGACACCGGGTGCGCACCGGCCGGGCGCGCGCGGGCCACGGGCCGCCTCTCCCCGCCGCGGTCGGCGCGCGGGCCCTGGGCCCCGGGACGCCGGGCTGGCGGAAGGCAGGGGGCGGCGCCGCGCGTCCTCTTGCAAAGTTTCTCGCAGTTGCAGTTCCTCCGCTTCCTGTGGGGGTGGGCGCGGCGCCCCGCGCGCCCGCCCGCCCGCCAGCCCGCTCCGGGCGGAAGGAGGCGGGGACGCGCGCCAAGTCGGGGCCGGGGCGGCGGTGGGGAACCGGGGATGGGGTCCACGGGGGCCGCGGACGGACGGGCGGCGTCCCGGGTCCCACCTGGGCGCCGCGAGAGGGCGCCGGCGGCGGCGGCGACGGGACGAGAGGCGGGCGCGGTGGGGCAGCACCCGGGTAGCCCGCCACCTCCCTCTCCGCGGCGACTCCGGCGCGGGCGGCTGCGCCCGGGTCCCCAGCCCCGCGCGTCCTGGAGCCGCCCCGCCACTTACCCGCGGAGCAGGTGAGGAGCGCCAGCAGTGCCGGGAGCGCCGGGCGGCGGCCGCGGCGGGCGGGAGATTGCATCCCGGCGGCGGACGCCGCGCGCCCCGCCCGGACTCGGGGAGCGGAGACTCGCGGGAACCGAGCTGCGCGGCTGGCGCTGCCGCCACCGCCGCCCTCCGCCGCGGCTGACCCCTCTCCGCCGGCTCCCCTCCTCCTCCCTCTCTCTCCGGCTCCTCCGCGCCCGCCACCGCCGCGCCCTCTGGCGGCCGAGAGCGGGAGCGCCCCTGTGCGCGCTGCCAACGCTGGCGGGCGGACTCCAGGCCGGGGCTGCTGCGGGATCGAGCGGGCCGAGGCGCTCCCCCTGCCCCGCCGGACCACGCCCCCGCGCCCTCCTGGTCCTCCCTGACCGTGGCCGGTCTTCTCCTGTCCCTGTCTTTCCTGAGTCCCCACTAGTAAGTCACTGGTTCCTCTACCGCCCCCACCCCAGTGGAAGAGAGATCATCTTTAACTTCCCTGCTCATAGACGACTTGCTAGTAAGAAGTCAGTAGCTCAGCGCCCATCCTGGATGGCACCCATGTTCTACCTCAACTAATTCACTTAATTTCTCTTTTCTTTTCTTTTTGGTGCTGGTCCTGGGCCTTGAACTCAGGGCCTTGGCCGCTGTCCTTGAGCATTTTTTTTTTTTGTTCAAAGCTAACTCTCTGCCACTGGAGCCACATCCTCACTTGGAGCTTTTGGGTAGTGAATTGGGGAGCAGAGCCGTGGGACTGATGTGGGAAATCCCTATTTGGAGAGTCCCTCTTGTCGCCAGGGCTGTCAAAAAGTTTCTACCCAGCTCCTAACAAAGGCGGCCCGAACAAGGAACTGACCTAGGAAGGAAGCAATTACAAACACGTCCTTGTGCCTTCCCCCAAGTCTTGTCTAGTATATATCCAAGGTAGTAGACGAAACCTACTGTGCATTCCAGTCCTGAGTTTGGCATATCCATGTTTTCATTGGTGCCTAGGTGTATTTTTGGATTCCTGCTCTAAGTTGACAACTCATACTTACCTGATCATTTTTTCTTCTTCTGTGAACTTGCAATAGTCACCCGTGCTACACATTTAATGAGGCCCACTTCTAGGCTCTAGGGCACATGTAGAAAATAAGAGAGAAGCAGGTGCTGAACAAATGTTGACTGGACTCCATAACTTTGAGTGGTATTGGGGAGTTTAGCCTGGAATACATCTGGACAGTATTGTTGTGGACTCAACAGATGCTGTCATTTGTTTTGTTTTGTTTCTCTGAGGTAGGGTCTCAGTATGTTACCCCAAGCTGGTCTCAAATTCCTGGGTTTAAGTAATCCATCTGTGTCAGCCACTGAGTGCTAGGACCACAGGCATGCTTTGTTCACCACTTCCTAAAAAAGAAATCAGAAAACAATGAGTTTTCTTAACCTTTAAGAAGGTTAACTACTGAGAACTGAGAAATTATTATTTTCTGTGTTACCCGTTTCATGTGAAAGCAAATAGCATTTTGATCTACCCAGCCAACCATAAACATCATTTAATGGGAGGGAAAAGAAATATTCCTCATATTTCATGTTTTCCTGAAGCTTTTCCAGTGTGGAGTGGACTGTTTTGGTCCCTTTTATCTTTCTTAGGAAAATTCTGAAAGCTATCTACCTACTTGGGAATCTTAGATTGTTTCTAATTTTCAAAGTTTTTGCCAGGCCCTGGTGGCTCATATCTATAATCCTAGCTTCTCTGGAGACTGAGATCTGTGATTCATGGTTCAAAGCCAGCCCAGGCAGAGAGTCCATAAGACTCTTATATTAACCACAAAAAAGCTATGAATGGAGCTGTGGCTTAAGTGGTAAAGCTCCAGCCTTGATCAAAAAGCTAAGGGATAGCACCCAGGCCCAGTACTGGCACAAAAATAAACTTATTTTCTTCCTTTCATATGTTACACATTGAACTTTTAAGCAAGGTATGTTTAAGTCATTATAGAATTCTAATAGTTAAGTAACTTCAAGTGCATGTTCACATTTGGTAGCTAGTAACTCAACCTGTTTGTTCATCATACTTTATCATGATAGAGTATTATGATTTTCAGGACAAGGTGTGGAAAATCGTGTCCTTGTTGGAACAACAGAACCCCTCTTTTAGTAATAAACTTATCCTGGTGTTCTTCCTTTCCACAGCAGACATTGATAAATGGCTTATGACAGAGCTCCAACATTCACTTGTGAAAAAAAGGATTACCCCTCAGTGACTAAGTCTTGTGATAAATAGACTTGCTGGGAGTTCTCTCTCCCAATCACACGTTGAGAGAGTTTCCTGAAGCAGACATGCTCAAGAGGACATTAACACATGCATCACAGGGTGCTTTTTGCTCTGTGACACCAACCAAGAGGGAAAAACAAACCTCATGAATTCTAACATTGGTACACAAAGAAGGGCAGGCCACAGGCCTTTCTTCTTTACTCACTACAATTCCAGCTGCCACTGACATGCTAGCTCTTAGGGGTATACCACTTGCTTCGTTGGAGAATAAGGATGCAATGGAAGGAGCTACCTCTTCTAGGGGACCCCACCCCAGCATGATTCAAACAAAACACAAAAGGAGAACCTAAAGACATTCATGAAAGCATTAGTAATCCAATAATCTAATTGACAAGACCCATATGAGTTGATTTTGACCTCATAACTCTAAGCCCAATTGATAAGGTTTCCATTTATTTATGCATCTGATAGCAACCTCCTGGCTGATGGAGAGAATGCAAAGACACATACAGTACAGCACTGAGCTCAGCAACTCAGTCTGTTTGGAGAGAGAAAATGTTCATAACTGCCAGACACAAGTGGTTCACACCTTTAATCCTAGCAACTCAGGAGGCTTAGATCTGAGGATCAGGGTTTGAGGCCAGCCCAAGCAGAAAAGTCTATGACACTCCTCTTGCCAATAAACTACCAAAATGAAAAAAGAAGAAAGAAAAGAAAAACCAGAAGTGGAGATGTGGCTTAAGTGGTAGAGTGGTAGACTTGAGAATAAAAAAGTTCATGACTGCTTTTATTACTATGAAGTAGATACTATAGGACAGGTAGATGGAAATACTTTGGAACACACAGAAAAATAAATCTATGAAGTCTTTAGATTGGTCAGAAAAATAGAGGTGGCCAGGTGCCAGTAGCTCATACCTGTAATCATAGCTACTCAGAAACCTGAGATCTGAGAATTGTACATCAAGGCCAGCCTGAGCAGGAAAGTCCTTATGGAAGTAGAGCTATGGCTCAAGTGGTATAGCTCCAACCTTGAGTGAGAAAGCTAAGTAAGGAACAGCACCCAGGTTCTGAGTTCCAGCACCAGCACAAAACATAGACAAAAGAAAAGAAAGGCATAGAGAAGGAAAGAGAAATAAGGAAGAAAAGAAGGAGAAAATAAGTGACTTGTGTGAGGTCAGTCTCTAGCGTGGAATTCTGGGTTTCTGAGCTGAAAAGATGGGGAGGGGATACAATTTCATGTGAAGACACGGTACACATGTGCCATGTTCACCCAAAGCCCTACAAAGTGGTACAGGCTCCTTGCTCAGCCTGCTACCTCTCTCCCCCTGACTCCTGGCCCTCCTGTTCCTATTCCAGGAAACCCCTGCCCTTTCTGGGCCCTCTTGATAATTGTTAAGCCTGGGGCAGATTATTAGTAGGCCTGTCCCAGGAAGATCTGCCCACACTGGTCAATGGCTTGATGAATTATGAGTGGTTATAGGGATATGTTTCCAAATGTAAAATCAGCCTTGGAGTCTGACAAATGGATTGCATGTTTTAAAACAAGATCTCAAAGTTTTATTCTGTTATCAGACCCATGATATAGTACTTTGCTCAACCCCAGAATCTGTACCCGGGATAACAGGAAACTGAATGATCATTTTGCCCAGTGCTTTAACTTCCGAGGAGGCAAGAGGAGTTTTAGCCTCCAAGAGTGAAAAAGAAAGACGATACAGAGAACAATTTTATAAAAGAGCCAGGATCCACAGCTCCTTTCAGGTTCTGAGAAAGAGAACTTCAGTGACCTAAACTGGTATCTCTGGTGCCTCAAAAAGTTTATCTCACTTTGCTTCCAAAGCTATCGGAAAACCATAAGCAAAACCCATTCTGGCTGGGCACAGTAGTTCTGCCTATAATCCTAGCTGTTCAGGAGACAGAGATCAGGAAAATCATAAGGTCACCTTCGGGGAGAAAAAAAAAAAGCAAGCCCCCCTGTCTAGTAATAAACTGTGTGGTAGCAAGCGCCTGTCATCTCAGCTACATGGAAAGCATAAATAGGAGGATTGAGGTCCAAAACAGCTCTTGAACAAACTTGAGACCCTATTTTTTAAAAAACTAAGTCAATAAAGGACTGAGGACATGGCACAAATAATAAAGCACAAACAAGTACAAAACCCTGAATTCAATCCCCAATTTTCAGTACCAGCCCCCCCCCCCCAAAAAGTTTCTACTCATGTTGGTGAACTTGTTAATCAAGATCTTCCATCTGATAGCAGCTGTTGCAAAATGAACAACTACTTATTAGCAACAGCACCAAAAACACCCACACATTTTGATTTGGCTGCTGAACAGTCATGACCCACACATTCTGTTCTCTGCAAACGTCATCGCAGACACTTCTGTTTTTCCTGCTGATGCATCGATTATGAGCGATTCCCGATCTTTTTTAGAGCAGAGGAGAAGTGACTCTAGAGCAAAACAGCCAAGTAGATCATCTATGTCTAGTTAGTTAGAAGTTTCTAGGGGACAGCTCATTGTCAGATCCCTTCACCAATTCTGTGTCTTCAAAGTAGTAGAAAAGCTGAGCACCTCTGGCTCACACCTCCTAGCTACTCAGCTGAGATCTGAGGATCATGGTTTGAAGACACCTAAGCAGATAAGTCTATGAGACTCATCTCCAATTTACCACCAAAAAGCTGATGTAAATAAATACATAAATATGTGTCTATACATATGAATAACAGAGCATGAATTTATATGAACATGCAAATGTATGATGCATATATATATATATATATCACATCATCTGTTGTTGGGCATATCTGCTGATTTCATCATTTTATCATTTGGCTGATTTCCATAGGAGCTGCACTAATTCATACTCTGAATATTTCTTATAGAATAGGCACTGTCCTGCATACTTTGCATGCATTAATTCATGGCAATCTTTCATGTAATT